TGCAGGGCATCGACGTGAGCACGATGAGTCGCTCCGCCGTCTTTTGAGCGATGGGGTTGTCCCCGTGGGATTTTGCCCCGGGCCGCCTCTTTGATGGATGGGGCCCGATCCTCGGCGTGAGCGCCTCGCGAGAGCAGCTGCAATGACGTGCCCGCGTTTCGCTGCGCAGAGGGCTCTCTCTGGCTCCTGCCCCCGCCGACTTTTCATGTGCATTCGCATGTACACGCACGCACATTCACAAATGGGACGTGCGCGCCCAACCTCATGAGCCTCGAGCAGGGTGATGCAAGCAATGTCGTTTGGAGTATGTTTGGAAGACAGGACACTCGACATGGGGCGTGCAGGGTCAGTCACCAATGTGTTTCTGAGTGTGTCAAGCGAGTGTGTTGAGCACATTCCAAAGCAATGCTTTCGGGAGAACACTGCGCAGCTGCAGTGAGCAAGCATGACTAGACCACTTGGCAGCCACATTGGTTTGGAGTAATCAGGTGCAACGTTCCAAGAGGGCCCTATGCATGAGGGATGGCAGCAATTGTGAAGTTAGACACTTCGGGGCAGGCGCGCATGTCTCGACAAAATCGGGGCGCCTGATGTCTGGGCGAGCCATGGTTTTGCCAGCTACGGGTTGCGGACTGCGGGTTGCCGACTGGCCCTTCGGTTGCCGACTAGCTCTGGTGATTGCTGGCCCTGAACTGGCTGCTGCTTGCCCTGGTCTTGTGTGTCGCAGGTTGCCAGCTTGCCGACTAGCCCTGGCTTTTGCGGGTCCTGGTGGTTGCCAGCTGCTGGTTTTCCAAGTGGCCCCGTCTGTTTCCAACCGGCCTCGGTGTCAGGATTTGGAGTGAGAGGTAGAGCGATGTTTAAAAAGTCACATCCGGATTTGCAGCCAGAATTTATGGACAAGTTGGTTTCGAGTTGAAGGTCGAAGTTATGTTCGAGTCGAGCCAGAGCAAGAACACGCGCGAGCGTCTCAGCGTTAGAGGTCATATCACTCAGAATAGGCCCCGGGGTTGCCTGGGGTTGCTCAGGGTTGCCTGGGGTTTCCGTGCAATGCCAAGAGGCCAAGAGAAATGCCCAAGCAATGCCAAAAAATGCCAAGCAATGCCCAGACGTGCCAAGCAATGGCGCGCATCGCTAAGCAATGCCAAACAAAGCTAAGCAATGCCAAGCAACGGTCCCAAGCAATTCCAATAGACGCCTAGCAACGCCAAGCAAGGCCAAGCATTGCTAAGCAGCGTTTTGCATTGCATTGTTTTGTATTGCTCAGAACTGCTTTGAATTGCCTGGGACACAAGGAAGACCCCTGATTGGGGTCGCGCCATGTTCATTCAATCTTCTTCGCCTCTTTGGGCCTCGCTGGAGGCATTTTTGGTCGTCTCTTGAAAGCATCTTGGGACCCTTTGGAGCCTCTCGGGGAGGTCTTGGAGCCCTTAAGGGCTCGTTGGGCCGTTTTTGGATGGCCTTCTGGCGCCTTGCAGCCGCCTTGGGCTGTTCTTGGGCCATCTTTGGGGCGTTTCGAGGTCAATTGGAAAGTCGAGAAGCAATCCGAGGGGGGCGGGTTTCTGAGCTTGGTCGCGAGAAAGTTTGTGTGTGTGTGGGGGACGCCCCTGGAAAGCTGCAGACACCCTGCCAGACAACTACATTTTAGCACTCTACTGTCGCGCGCGCGCTTGTGGCGGCGGACGTGTCGACGTTGTTCCATGGGAGTGTCTGTACTGAGTGGTTCTCTGTCTAGTCGTGTACTTGGCGACAGGGGCTCTTCTCGATGGCTAGGGATCACCTGGCTTGTATGGCATTGTATCTTCATGTCTGCAGCATGGCCAAGTCGGTTGATTTGCAGCTACTTCTTTGTCAATCGGTCAACCAATGACCAGATTAATTGGGCACCTCAGGAAGAGAAGCACCTGGTATACTGGGAAGACCTAGGCGTGGGCATGCGACGCAAGCGAGTGGTGATTTCGGCAAACCAAAGTGCAAAACAGCTGTGGAGCACACTGGGCAGGGCTCCGTTTCCCCTTACTCGGTCTCCGACATTGTGCGTTTTCTTCAAGACGTGGACCCCTGGAGGCCTGGACCTCTCCCCCTTCACCAGTGTTTCATCCTTGGTAGTCTTTGACGGTCCCCGGCCCCTCTGATGGCCCCCAGAGGCGGAAAGTTTGCAAGAGATATCCGTCGCCTCAGATCGGCGGCGAGCGAGGGGGGGAAGCGAGACGGGGAAGGCCTGCTCAGAAGGCGGCGGGACTTCTGAGAAGCCCTCGCGCCTTCTGAGAAGCAGTCTGTGTCTTCGGGGAAGCCTTAGGCACCTTCTCAGAAGGCCCGAGGCCTGCCGAGCCTTCTCAGAAGGCCCGCCTCCTCCCCCCTTCCCCCCCAGGGCCCGCCGCCGATCAGAGCTGTCCCCCCGCAAGGGCTTCTGACAAGTCCCGCCGCCTTCTGAGAAGGCCTTCTGAGAGCCGCCGATGAGCACCGAGGACGCCGAAAACCATCAGAAGGCCGCCCAAGACCGCCCACGGCCGATGGGCAACAAGTGAGTTTGGAGGCGGCGAGGGGGCCTGAACTGCATGGACCTCGGCATAATCGGTCGCCAAGAAGGGGGATGAGGGCAAGTCCGCTCAAAAGCGGCCCCCAGACCACTCCCAGGGCCCACCTGGTGCCGTTTTCCGCCCCAGGTCCGCTCTCGACGCGTCCCGGGGCCCGAAAACGGCCCTCAGAGGCCGAAAAAGGCCAAACAACTTGTCGAGCCCAGGACCTCAAGCCTCGCCCCATCCCCCCCACTCTCTCCTCGCCAGAACCAAGGCTGGGCTGCCTCGGACCCCCAGCCAGCTCCGACCGTGGCCGAATGCGAATCCGCAGAGGCCACCGCAGTCTCGGCAGCGCGCTGGGCCGAGCGCTGTCCACGGTGCGCGCGGGCGCGTGTGCCGCTCTCGTGGCCGCCAGGTCCCGACGACCTCGGCGGGGGCGCCTCTGGCGAGCCGTCGCGCGCCCCTCAGTGGCCCGCGGCAGTTCCGCGCCAGGCCGGCGCGGCGGCGGCCGCGGCGCGAAACGCGGCAGCCGCCCGGCATGGCTTTCTCCTCCTCGTCCCTCCGTCCCCGCCTCCTCCTCCTCCTCCTCCTCCTCCTCATGCTTTCTCGTCTCTAACCCTCCCCTCCCTACTCCCTACCCCTCCTACCTCGTTGCTCCCGCCTCCTCCTCCTTCTCCTCCTCCTCCTCCTCCTCCTCCTCCTCCTCCTCCTGCCTCTCTCCCTCTCTGCTCCTCCTCCTGCTTCTATAATGTAGAAATGCTAGATATTTGGCTTTCGTGCTCCTGAAATCTGTTTCGATGATTGTTTTATTTTTTTGCGTTTTTGAAGGGCGCCGCATGGTCGTGAAGATCACGTGATACACGTTCAAAATGGGCGCCGCGCTGCCCGGTCAATGCATTTGTACACAATTCCACGCGCGTTTTAATGCACAGTGCGCATTGTATGAAGTTGCAGGACCAGCGCGTAGCGTTGTGCATCGTGCCTAGTCCTGCATACCGCACGTGCCATTGCGCGTCTATTAGGATATCGCGTGGTCTCCGAACCGCAGTTGCGCCGCCTTGCTCCCCGGAGCGCCCGGCCGATGGCGCGCCTTTCTTTCTAAGGGGCAGCGGCTTTGAGCTTAGCTCGGGAGGCTTCTCGTGGGCCTTCTGTTGCTCGCTCGGGGCTCTCTCGCGGCCCTCTAGGGCGAAGTTGGGGCCTGTGGCAAGACCATAGGGAACGGCGGATCTAGCCGGGGAAGATCAGGAGGAGGAGCAGGAGGAGGAGGAGCAGGAGGAGGAGGAGGATGAGGAGGAGAAGGAGGAGGGGGAGGAGGAGGAGGAGGAGGAGGAGGAGGAGAAGGAGGAGGAGGAGGGGGGGGAGTGAGGAGGAGGGGAGGAGGAGGGAGGAGGAGGAGGAGGAGGAGGAGGAGGCAGGAGAGGAGGAGGAGGAGGAGGAGGAGGAGGAGGAGGAGGAGGAGGAGGAGGAGGAGGAGGAGGAAGTAAGGTGGTTTAGTTGCCTGAGCCCATTCCCCACCCCAACGTTGCCACCCCAGCTTCGCTCCGGCTCACGCCGCGCGGGTGGTGCCCCGCCGCCGCCCCGATCGCGGTGGCGCTGTGACCCGCCGCCGTGGGCCAAGACAGCCTGCGTCGTCTCGTCGTCGTCGCCGTCGCCGTCGCCGTCGCCGTCGCCGTCGCCGTCGCCGTCGCCGTCGCCGTCGCCGTCGCCGTCGCCGTCGCCGTCGTCGTCGTCGTCGTCGTCGTCGTCGTCGTCGTCGTCGTCGTCCTCGTCGTCCTCGTCGTCCTCGCCCTCAGGGAGCAGCGCTGGATGGGCTGTCCTCGTCGGGCTTCTCCTGCACCTGCCTGCCTCGGCCCGTCCCCCCCCCCGTCTGCGTCGGTCCGTCTCCGTGTCTGTGCCCGTGTGCGCCTCTCCCCGCGCCTTCGTGGACCCCCTGCCTCCGTTCGTGCCCCGCCCTCGGTTTCCGTCCCGCTGTCTCTCCCCGTCTACCGCTTGCGGCATTTTTTTTTTATTTGTATTTTTTTTTTTTTTTTTTTTTTGTTTTTATGTTTTTTGCTTGCGGCAGCGGACGGAGATCGGCGCCACCCCATCAGACTACGGTGCGTGGCCCCCGCAGGGGCGACGCATGTTCGGGTCGGACGCGCGCTTCCGAGGAGGACACATACTGATAGTATGTCCTGGTGCGTCTCAGGAGAGGGAGAAAAGAGACGTCGTGCTCTTTTTCACTACGTGGGCCCCCAGAGGTCTTGGACCTTTTCTGAGGACCCTTCTTTCTTGTTGTTCCTCCCGAGCGCTGCTTTTACGCTCCCTGGGCCCATGGAATGCCCCGGGAGCACGAAGGTGAGCAACAAGAAGCCCGCCGTGATTATCGGCAGCGGGAGCAGGTCTGTGCCTGTCTGTCAGTTTTTTTTTTTTTTTTTTTTTTTTTTTTCTCTCTCTCTCTCTTTCTCTCTTTCTCCTCCCCTTCCTCTCTGTGGCTCCGCCTCGCCCCCCCCCCCCTCCCCCTTCCGACCGTCGCAACCTCCCGTTCGCCCCGCTGGAGCCCGTGCCGCCAAGGCGACCTTCCGCGCCTGCGCCCAAGCCGGCCCCGAAGGAAGAGCCACCACCGCCAGAGGACGCCCCCTGCCTTGCCGACCGCCTCTGCGGCACGACGACCTTGCAAAGGGCCCATTTCATCTGGCCGATCCGATTCTGGGCGGCCTTGCCCGACTCGAGTGCGATATTCGGACGATTCGATGCGGCCTGATGCTTAGTGTTTTTTTGCTTCCTGACGCGGGCGGTTCGATCCGATTGCGGCTGCGCGCCGATGCAGCCCGATCAGACGTGCATTTGTTCCGATCCCACTTCGGATTCGATGTGGACCGATCCTGCCCCCTGGAGGAAGGGAGGAGGGAGGGAAGGAGGGATGGAGGGAGGAGGAGGGTGGATGAGGAACAGGTGGGTGACGTAGCGCAGGTAGGAGGGGAGAGCAGGGGGAGGGAGGCAGGGAGGCATGAAGGATGAGGCAGGAGGGAGGTGGCACGCAGGAGGGAAGGAGGAGGAAAGGACGAAAGGGGAGGAAGATGGGCAGGAGGGATGAGGGCGAGGAGGAGTGAGCGGGGAGGGAGAGAGAACGGTGACGAGGTACGCAGGAAGGATGGATGACGAGTGCGACGGAGGAGGCTTGGGGGTTCGAGAGGCAGCCAGGAGGGAGTAGGGCGGGCGGGGTGGGAGGCAGGACGACGAGGAGGGAGGGCGAGGAGGGAAGGAGAGGAGTGAGCGGAGCTCTCTGGAGCCCCACAGGTCTCTGCTGGCGCCGCCCACCCTCGCCGCCGTCGCCGTCGCCGTCGTCGCCTGGGCTGGGCCCGAGGACAACCGGACCCCCGAGCAGAAGGAGGCGGACGAGTTCAAAGCCAAGGGCCTCCCGCCCCGCAGGGGGGGTGGGTCCAGAGGCGTGGCCTCTGGACGTTCTATCGTCTTTCTTAGGTGAGCCTCCAGAGACTTCGGAGGCGTAATTAGGGGGCCTCCAGAGGCCTCCAGTGGCCTCCAGAGACTTCGGGGATCTCAGGTAGTTTCTGAAGACCGTGAGAGGAGACCGTAGTTTCGAGCGTTTTTGGCCGCCTCTCCCTAGCCTCAATTCTCCCGGACCACTCGACCACTTACGTAGGGGCCTGAAGCAGGCTTGTACAGGTCCAAAGTGGGGACGCATTGGCCGTCTCGAGTTTTTCGGGCCGCCGAATGTTTGGCACCCCATGCGTCGACCCACGGATGGGTCCAGCACGCTTCATGGGGAACCAAGGGCCTCCCGCTCACCGGCCAAAGGGAGGGGGCGGTTGGAAGCTCTTCTTCTTCCTCCACCCCTCTTCCTTAGAGGTCATTCTTAACGCTTCGCGTATCCCCACCAGTTGGGTCCTCTCTGGCTACTCTGGCCTCGTCCCTTGCGTGGATGCGTTTTCTGATGTTGCGACGGTTCGCTGGCGCCGTCAGGGCCTCTCCTGCTGGACGACGTCACCAGTACTACCTGATCATACCCGTCAGGTTCCCTGGATGACCTTCCTGCACGGTGACTGTCCCACCACGCGGTTCTTCTTACTTGGACGCGTCGAGACGACTGCGCGCCATTTTGGCTGCGCTTGGCTCGCCTCAGGGTTGACCTCACAGACTCCCTGGGATGCAGTTTGCACGTTTGTCTCAGGCGCTGACCTTTCAGACTCCCTGGGATTGCACGATGCTGGCTCCTCAGACACCCTGGTTCCTGCCCCGCCGCCTGAGCCGCGCCGCGCGCGCTCGGGAATTTAGCCACGGCCGCGGCCCGACCGTGACTGCCCGCCGCTGGCGCTTCCGCCTGCGGCCGTAAAAAAAGTATCCCCACCAGAAAAAAAACCCTTTCACATGGGCGTGTTGACAGTACGGTCGGCCGCTTGTCGGCATCGGCGGACACGGACGTCGGTCAAGGCACCGTTCTGGCGCTTGTGTTAGACGTCGGCTACAGTCACAGGAGTGCCTTCGGGATGCGCAAGCCGCACACCGCCTTGGTACCAGAGGCCATCGCGGGCGCTCTCCTTTGTGGTCGGCCATCTCCAGGCATTAGCCCGAACCCCCTCAGCGGCGTACAGTCTGGCCGACGTTCCAAGTGAGTGAGTGGTTTTGGCACCTTCCGCCTGGCAGTCTGGCCCCACCTGCGGGTCCGACCTGTCCGCCCTCCCCACTCTCGCTGGCATGCGCTCAGCGGCTGGTACTTCTCATTTGCTCCCTTTGCTGGCACATGTCCAGCGTTGTTAATTTTCTGCTGCTGTCACATTCTCCGCTGCTTCTGGTAGTCGCGTGTGACGCCCGGGCTTCTGCCGGCGCCTTCGCGGTTGCCTACTCGGCCGGCAATTGTGCTGCGCCGTTAATTATCTGCCTTCCCGTGCGCTGTGCCCCAGCTTCGTTCACACCGCCCTCTGGACTTTTCCTTGCGGGCCGCGAATCAAAACAAGTATCCCCGCCAGCCCCGCAGCCGGTCGGCACTATGGCTTTGACAGGTCGGCGGTGTCCACCGAGGTGAGGGTGTCTGTGGCTGGTTGACTTGCCAGTGTGGCGCCTCGCCCGCGTTTCTCGGCGCACCTCCCCCTCGCCGGTTCCGACACGTCCGTTGGTCGACGCCTGCCTCAACAGCTCTGTAGTGGTGTTCGCTGGCTGCGCGCTGACTGGATCAGCCTTCAGCGCCGTCAGCCTGTTTTCCACCCCCAGCAGCCGGTACTCCGGGCTGGTGCCAGTTGTGTTTGAGGTGTTGCTCGGAGCTTGGCGCCGCAAGGGCGACGTTCCGTTGCACCCGCACCTCTGTGCGCTCGTTCTTTTGGACCGGGCGGCGTTTAGGTGCGTCTCGGCTCGAATGTGGAGAATTTTCCTCAGTGCACGTGCACCGCGCGCTTTGCGTGCAATTTGCCTGTTCCGCCGTCCCGGACACGCCTGTTGCCGCCAGACCGTCTTCGCGCGGCCGCCGACCAAAACTATCCCCACCAGCCCATCCAGACACGATGCCCAGCGGAGCTGCCCTGCACGGAGGAGCGTGGCATCTGGGGGCTGTATGGGCCAGAAGCCCCTCCGATGCTTCCTTGGGTTTTTTGGATGTCACTTGAAGGCCTCTTCGAGGCATCTTGGGGCCCCCTTGCCAGCGCTCGGGGGGCCTCTTGGAGCGTCTTGGGTGCCTTTCGGGGGTTTCTTCGGGCCACTTAGGGGCCACCTGGGGGCCTCTGGGGACTCTCTTGAGGGTTTTTCGGGCCGTCTTGGGGCCACGTGGGAGGCCGTCGATCAAAGAAAGGGGGTCCTCTATTAAATCCCCCCCTCTTGGATCGAGGGCACATTCCTAAGATTGTCATCGCCTTGGGCTTGTCAATCTTACGGATAGGGATGGATCGAGGCTGGTTCTCCCTCCTTCCCTTCCTCCCCAGTCTCGAGCTTGACTCCCGCTCCAGCACGGTGGGCATCCCCAGCTTGGGGCTGGGCTCGGGATGCATGTTTGCGGGAACCGGGGACGGGTCAGGCTGTGGGGCCCGGGAGTCCAGAGCCTGATCGTCGAGAGAGCGGCGAGGACATGATCGCTGGCTGCTGACACGGGTTGGGTTTGGGTGGGGGGGCGGTGGTGTTCGGGCTTGGGCTGGGATGCGGGGCGGGGGGCGAAGGACGGGGCACCGATACATTCGTATTCCTCCTTCGTCGCGCTTTCTCTGGGGTAGACTCCTCCTCCTCCTTCTCCTCATCACCACTTCCACGACCACCATCATCATCATCATCATCATCGTCATCATCACCACCATCAGCATCAGCATCAGCATCATCATCATCAGCTCCTCCTCTTCGACGTCGTCGTCCTTCTCCTCCTTTCTGTCTCCCCCCCTCCTCCTTCATGCCTTCTCCCTCTTCCTCTGCTTCCCTTCTACTGAAGTCAGGTGGTTCCTGAGTATGCCTGAGGAGTGGAAGGAGTTGAGTTGACTGAGTAAGGGATAGGGGGGAGTGGAGGGACGGAACCTCAGCCGGTGTCCGCACCAGGCAACGAGACATACAAGAAGAAACAGTTCGAGGAGGCCCTTGGCTGGTACGACAAGGCCTTTCCCTGTTGCGCCCATCAGTGCATATGAGGAAGGGGAGGTAAAGGAGGATGAGGGATGAGGTGGAGGCGGAGGAAAGTAGTAATGATCATGGGCCCCCGTCCAGTAATGTCAAGGACCACCCCACCAGCGCTTCCCATGAGCCCGTTTTCCCGAGCAGGAAACGACGGATGAGGAGGAGGGGGGAGGAAACGGAGGAGGAAGAGGAGGAGGAGGAGCAGGATGAGGAGGCAACGGGAGCTTTTACTTTTCTGAGACGCTGATGATGATGATGGTGGTGATGATGACGATGATGACGATGTGATGATGCTGCTGCTGTGATGATGATGACGATGATGTTGTGATGATGATGATGACGAGATGTGATGTGATGATGATGATGATGTGATGATGATGATGTGTTGACGATGATGATGATGATGATGACGATGATGGTGATGGATGATGATGATGATGATGATGATGATGATGATGATGATGATGATGATGATGATGATGATGATGATGATGATGATGATGATGATGATGATGATGATGATGATGATGATGATGATGATGATGATGATGATGATGTCATGGCGCTGCGTGTGCGCGCGTACAGCTCCATCATCTTACGCCACGCGTCAGCGGGCTCTGCCGCCACGCACGGTCGTCCCCGTGACGGCCCTGTCTAGGCTCGAAGAAAAACGTGGGCCTCCGCCGACGGGAACTGGACGGGGCCTGGAGACGCCGGGCGAGCCATGGCCGCCGGCGTCTGCCTTTCGTCCGGCGCCCGCGGGCGCCCTGCGTAGGCTGCGGAGCGTCATGGGCGGGTGTGGCCGATGAGTGGCCGGCCACACCGCCCGGAGGGTTGCCGCCCTCCCTGCTGCTGATCCCAGCCGCGGATGGGAGGCGGCGTGAGTTCCAGCGCGGCGCCAGCTGCCCTCAGGGGCGCAGCCGCCGCCGCCGCCCCAGCACCCTGCTGCACCTGAGTGCACACCGCCCGCAGGCACTTGAACTGCCGCGCCCGGCGCAAGGCGCCGGCGCAGGCTCCGCTCGCCAGGCCGAGGCCGGCGGCGGAATCCCCTTCCACCTCTTCGCTCGCCAGGCCCCCTGGCTGGCGGCGCTGCTGAGCTCGCCAGGCCGAGGCCAGCGGCGGAGTCCCCTTCCACCCCTTCGCTCGCCAGGCCCCACGGCCGGCGGCGCTGCTGATCCGTCGCGATGCTGCTTGTCAGCCACCTCGCGCGTGACGTCGTCTCTGCGCTGGAACCCCTGGCTTCTGTGGAGATAGCGCGTGCCCTTGAGATGCACCGGCCCCTGGACCCCAGCGTCGCAGTGGACCGCCTTGGGCTTCTTGGGCGGCTTCGGCTTGCCCGCGGCCGCTTCCCCCGGCGCCTCGCGCGGGCTCTTGGCTGCCTGCCCGGCCGCGCATTGCACCAACAGTGCCAGGCCAGCGCCAGAGTCGTGCCGAGCCGAGCGCCACCACCAGGTTCGAAGATGATGACTTGTACACCTGCTTGTGGTGCTCGCAGAGGCAGACCGTCGCGTTCTTGCCATCGGCGGGAGGTGGCAGGTCCGAAATTTGCCTGTCCTCCCAGAGCAAGGTCATGGGCGTCGTGTCAGCTGCGTCGCGGCAGTCACCCGGGGCCAACGGGCGCATCGCGCCTTTCATGAGGGCGCCGACCTTGACGGCCTCGCAGGGGCGCTCTTCGGCTTCAACCTCGGATTCCGATTCTTGATCCAGGAGCTCCGCCACTCCCAGCTACGCCTCGCTCCGCAGCGCCTGCCGATTCACGGCGGCGGCGTCGCCGGCGGCTGCAACGTCCGCAGCAGCAAGCCAGGTGGAGGAGGTACATCAGGCTTGTAGCGGACATGCGGGCCCCGCTGGCGATCGCGCGCCCCGCCAACGCGCAGAGCCGGCACGTGGTGAACCGAGCATGGGCACCGATGTCGACGATGGCGGCCGAATCCAGTGCAGCTTGCTCCACGCAGTGGATCTCCTTCTCGTCCTTCTGCAGGCAATCCCCGCACTGGTACAGGTGGATCCACTTGCCTTGCTCGAGCTTCTGCCGGAGGGTCCGGGCGCTCGCACTCTTGACTTTGTTGTGCTGGATCCAGACCCCTTCTTCCCGATGCGTTCCGTTTCATTGAAGACTAGTCCGAGTCGTGCTACGTGCCCATCCATGCGCGCAAGTAGGTCATTGGGCTTGCGCCCGATCCCCCGCGCCCTGACCGTCTTCTGGTAGAAGGATGTCGTCGTGCTGGGACCAGTGGCGGGCCCTGTCCAGACGACCGTCGTTGGTTGTGGGGGCGCCGGCGGCAGAAGGCGGTCCACCTCTGCTTCGCCTGGCGATCGTCGGGCGCAGCAGCAGCACGCGCGGCAGAGGCCAGCGGCTGCTCCAACGATCCAGCAGGCCCACGCACAGGGCGCGAAGACGGGCCGCAAGCTGTGGGCCGCCAGGGCGATGACGCCGGTGCAGCTCAGCACGATGACGGTCCAGCCGACGATGGGCCGGGCGGCGCCGAACAGACGCTCGCCGCAGTTGTCGACCAGGTACAGGATCCAGCCCCCGTCTGAGTACAGCCATCCAGTATCCTGTCGGTTGGGGAAGGCGCCTTTGAGGGTCTCAAAAGAGTGAGCCCAACCCCCCATCCCATCGACGCTCCGGTGGCCAGCGCCGCGGGGCGCCGGGTGACCAGTCCGCTCGCGCGGGTGCTCCAGGCGAGCGCCGGCGCGGGGCTGCGCTCGGTCGCCTTCGCCTGGCGTCGAGCCGGCGCCGGCGCCGTCGCGCGCCCAGCCGCCCGCCCGGCGCTCGCAAGCGGCTGCCCTGCTGCAGCAGCCGCCCTCCGGCCACCTGGCGCCCGGCGCGGCGGCGTGGCGGGCCGCGCGGGCTCTCTGGGAACCCGGAGTCTTGTGGCCCTCCGGAGTGGGGCTCTGGAGGGACCGGTCCTGGGCCACCTGAGGCCGACCCCCAGCTTGACCCCGAGGAGCTAGAGGGGAGCGAGAGAGAGAGAGAGAGAGCAAAAAACCCCGCATACAGGGCCCCCAGAAAGCCAAGCGTTTAAGCTAAAACCAAACAACTAATTGAGCATTTCGGCGCGGAAAAGCGTGACACTTCATTGCCTGGTCGCGTCTCCGCCCATGTAACCTTATCTTGCCCATGTTCCATACTCTCGTTGCTTCTGCCGAGGTGCTTGTTCTTCCACCCCGATGTCTTCCTTTTGCTTCTCCTTCCCAGTGCAATGCCCCCTGGCCTTTCGTAGCCTCTGTTTCGCGAGTCGGCCGCGAACACTTCGCACGATGCTGATATCCGTCGTGCGCCGCTTCTTATTGTCGGCGCGCCTTGTATCGTCCCTTGGTGCCGATGGGTTTGGTACGTCGCAGGATGATGACAGGGGTGGTTGGCCCGCGCGCAGCGACCAATATGACGGCCCCCCTCGTCCGTCACAATAACGAATGCAAAGTGGTCGCGGGGCGCCTGCGCACAGTCCAGATTCGGAGGCGAAGTGCGTTCTGTATTGTTCCCAACCATCCTGTGGTGTTGGGTCCTCGTTTTGAAGAGACGGTGCCCCGCGTCTCCTTCCTCCTCCTCTCCTCCTCCGCCTCCTCTCCCCTCCTATCATCCTCATCGTCATCATCATCATCATCATCATCATCATCATCATCATCCTCATCGTCATCAACATCATTATCATCATCATTATCATCATCATTCCTCTCCTCTCATCTCCTCTCCTCTTCTCTCCTCTCCTCTCCTCTCCTCCTCTCCTCTCCTCCTCTCCTCTTCACCCACCCGGTACACCGTTTCGTGGCCCCATAGGGAGCTCCACCGAAGGCCCCAGTGCCCGCGCCCGCATGCGTCACCCACACCCACTTCGGCACACCCCACACACGTTTCGTGGCTCCATAGGGAACTCCACCGAAGGCCCCAGTGCCCGCGCCCGCATGCGTCACCCACACCCATTTCGGCACACCCCTCACACGTTTCGTGGCTCCATAGGAAGCTCCACCGAAGGCCCCAGTGCCCGCGCCCGCATGCGTCACCCACACCCATTTCGGCACACCCCTCACACGTTTCGGGGCTCCATAGGGAGCTCCACCGAAGGCCCCAGTGCCCGCGCCCGCATGCGTCACCCACACCCATTTCGGCACAACCCTCACACGCTTCGTGGCTCCATAGGGAGCTCCACCGAAGGCCCCAGTGCCCGCGCCCGCATGCGTCACCCACACCCATTTCGGCACACCCCTCACACGTTTCGTGGCTCCATAGGGAGAGCTCCGACCGGAAGGCCCCATGCCCGCGCCCGCATATGGTCCCACCACCCAGTTCGGGCACACCCCTCACATACGTTTCGTGCTCCATAGGAGTTCCGCCGAAGGCCCAGTGGCCCGCGCCCGCATGCGCGTCACCCACAACCCATTTCGGCCACACCCCTCACACGTGGCTTCCATAGGGAGCTACACGAAGGCCCCAGTTGACCGCCGCCGGCATGCGGTACCCACACCAATTTCGGCACACCCCTCAACGTCTTTCGTGCTTCATTAGGGAACTCCCACGAAGGCCCCAGTGCCCGCGCCCGCATTTTGCGTCACCACCCACCATTTCGGCACACCCCTCACACGTTTCGTGGCTCATAGGGAGCTCCACCGAAGGCCCCAGTGCCCGCGGCCGCATGCGTCCCCCACACCCATTTCGGCACACCCCTCACACGTTTCGTGGCTCCATAGGGAGCTCCGCCGAAGGCCTCAGTGCCGCCGCCCGCATGCGTCACCCCCACCCATTTCGGCACACCCCTCACAGTTTCGTGGCTCCATGGGAGTTCAACCGAGGCCCCCTGTGCCCAGTGCCGCGCCAGCATGCGTCACCCACACCCATTTCGGCCAACACCCTCAACACGTTCGTTGGCCCCCCATTGGAGCCTCCACCGAAGGCCCCAGTGCTGCCGCCCGCATTGCGTCCCGCACACCCAATTCGGCACAACCCCTCACCACGTTTTCGTGGCCCCTTAGGGAGCCC